GTATGTGTGTGCTTGGGGTACTTGGGATACCTAGGGTGCTTGGTGACTATGGGAGAACAGGGAGGCCCGGAAGAAACCAATAGGGAGGGGAACGGAAGAGACCAATAAGGAGGGGAACGGGGGGTACCGGGAGAGACCAATAGGGAGAACGAGGGGGTGGGTGAAAGGGGCCAATAGGGAGGGACAGTCCAATGTTACACATCCCAGCTTCAGGTTCAAGGTGGATGGTCCTGGTGCAGCAAGGGGCTCAGGCTCTCAGCAGACTCTGGCAGCCCATTGTACAGGGATTGTGCGCACTGGGTAGTGCTTTGGGGTAGCAAGGGTGAAATCTGGGGGGGGTCCTGAGGCAGGCGGGGGTCACTTAGGTTTTTAATTAAAAAAAAAAAAGACAAGCTGGAAAAGTGGGACCCCCAGGCCTGCACCCGCTGTGACCCCGGCCTCCGTCAGCAGGAAGCTTGGGCCTCTGCCGCTGAGGACAGAGCAGGAACTAATGCAGTAGGAGGCTGTCGCCCTCCTGGGAGGCAGTGGGAGCAGGGATGAGATGCACGTCCTGCTAGTGGTTCTTGGTGAGGTGCTGATAGCAGGCGGATGGGTGGGGAGACTCCCACGTCTTGGGTTCATCCAGGCTGTAGTTCGGAGGGAAAAACAGGCCAGCCTGTTCCTGGTACCCTGAATCCTGCCCCTGTTCCCCTGCCTGTCCCTGTTCTGTCTCGTACTGTCCCTCCGAGCTTCTCATGCAAGTCTCCCTCCTTCCTCCACCTACTAAGCTCTGATTTGTTCTCTTTACTTCTAGCCAGTTCCAGTTTCTACCACCTTTGCCTTCCCATTTCAGTATGTCTCTTTGTCTAGTCTGTTCTAGTTCCCCACTCCACTGTCCCAGTCCCAGTCCCGTTTCACCACTGCTGACACCTCATCCTAAATCCTGCATTCTGATTCCCCAATTCCCCCTGATGCTCCTTGTCCAGCCAGTTCCAGTCACTCTGCCTCCCTCAGAAAGCTTTCTTCTAAGTTAGCCTGGGTGCTAAGAGGGCAGAAGGTGAGAGCATGGGAAAGACCACTTCTTTACCCTCAGACCTAGTATCTGGCTCTAAAGCAGTTTGAAGATCCAATTTTAGGGAAAGTCCTGCTTAATCCATTAATTGCCAGGATTTAGTAAGCTCGGTTCCATAGGCATGTAGGACAGACTAAAACTGTTTCAGAGCAGATGAAACATTCATGGAATTTAGCTGTCAGACTCTAGCAAACCTTCCCCAAAAAGGTGCGAGCTGAGCTTTTTTTTTTTTTTTTT